TATTGAAATCATTCAATCATTTTTGAGATTATACCCCATTACAGCTTTTCCCACTCTTTTGTTGACTATGAGGGCTACTCCATTTCTTCTACGGGATTCTTGCCCACAATAGTAGAATGATAATCATCTGAATTGAATTTGCCCATTCCTGTCCATTTTAGTTCACTGACGCCCAGGATGTCAATGTTGATTCTTGCCATCTCCTGCAGTATTTTTCTTTGCAGCATTGGACTTTCCTTTCACTTCCAGGCACGTCCACAGCTGAGCATCCTTTCGGCTTTGGCCCAACCACTTCATTAGCTCTGGAGCTACTTGTACTTTTCCTCCACTCTTCCTCAGTAGCATGTTGGACGCCTTCCGACCTGAGGGGCTGATCTTCCAGCGTCATATCCTTTAGCCGTTTGTTTCTGTCCATGGAATTTTCTTGCCAAAGATACTCGAGTGGCATTGCCAGTTCCTGCTCCAGGGGTGTCCCTGCACGGCATAGCCCATAGCTTCTCTGAATTACTCAAGCCCCTTCGTTACAACAAGGCAGCAAACCATGAAGAGGACAAGTACGTTAAGTGCTCCCAAATACGGGAGGCAGAGGTGGCATGTTCACTGTGTTTTTTTCCATCAGGAGTGACGAAAAAGTTACGTTTCAGAATCCAGTCGTCTTTCTTCCGGAACTGAAGTGGAAGATTTGGGATTTTTGTGATATAAATCCTTTTCTAGCAGCCGCCATGAACCAGTTCAAAGGTAATAAAAAACGACTGCATAGCTTTTGTTCTAGAGTTAACACGACAGGTTTCTCTGACCCTTCCTATCCTCCTCTCTTATTGCTGCCTCCCAGAATTCTGCCCGTTGGATTCTGTGCAGATTCTGGGAGAGGAAGCCCAGAAATATGTAAATCCCACCCCCAGTAAAGAGATCTGATACAGTGATGTTAGCTGGAAGCAGTTTAAGCATTTATAAGGAGGATTTGCTCTTTGCCAGAATTAGGCCTCAGGATTATTTTCTTTCATTTGGGAAGTGGGGTTTTTTGTTGTTTGTTTTGTTTTTCGGAAGACCCATTTGTTCCACTCAGCCCTGTTTCTTTAGTCTCAGATAAGCCCCGTTCCTATGGGCTAAGCACATTTTGAACCTCCAAGACGCTGCTTCTTCCTCTTGCTCCTCCATGGGAGGGAAAGAGACAACAGGCAGAGACAGGACAGAGAATAGCAAGGGGATCAAAGGAAGAACCAGCGGAGGTGGGAAGAGAGAGGATGTCTTTTGGGGTAGAAATTCAAATCAGAAGAATCCAGGTGACATTCAAGGTAAAATTAAAATAGAGATGGAAGCTTGGAGGGAGTGGTTCTGCATCAGTGGGGAAAAGGAACCACTCTTCCAACCTGCCTCATTCTGAGCCACACACCTCGTGTGTCGAAGAGAGACAAAAGGCTCATTCGTTAAATCGTCCTTTACTTGAAGTAAGGAAGCAACAACAGCTATGTTATGAACTGGTATTTTATTAATCAGAACTCTTGTAGATTTGGTGCTCTGATGCCTGACGTTTGTGCATTTTTCTTTGCCCAGATGCTCTGGTACATGGACTTCGGCTGCAGAAAGGTAAATGTCTGTTTGAGGACCAAGTTCATGGGAGGGATTTAGGGTCACTGATTTGGCTGGTTGTGTATCAGTGGGGTTAATCCAACCCTCTGGGGTCCACTCTTGGCTCCTTCTCTTGTAACATTCAGAAGGTTTCTGAAGACGTGTTTTAAAGAAAGGCCTTGCGATGCAACCCTTGCCTGATTTTTACACCTCATGTTGCATTTGATTTTATTTGTTGGTTGGCTTTATTGTGATTTCCTTTTTTCTGTGTTTTATTATTTTGCTGTAAGTTCGCAGAATAGTGCTTCCCAATAGCAGGGCGGTATACACATCTAATAAATTGATGAAGAGATACTACTTTTCTGCACACTGTGGAAGCATCCACCCCTTAATTTGTGAATAAACAAAAAATCAATACAGTACTGCTCCATTGATGTTTAGACTTTGGAGGTAACATATTAAAAAGTTACATTGTTAATGTTCCTCTTACTTCTCCAAGTAATGCGAGGTAATGACATTTCTTTTGCAATGCATTTGCCTCCTTTTACCTATAAAACCTGATGAATACCATATCATTATGCCATATGTTCGTCAAGAACTGCCCCCCCTAGTACACGTGGTTGTCCTGACAATTGCCTCAGTTCCTTTTTGCCACCGCTGAGGTCTTTCCTCTCGTCCCCGGACTTCTATTTGTCAGTTTTGCAAGAACTTCACTAAACAAGCCCTTAAACTCAGACAACAGCATCTCAGGTCATTCCTCTGGGACTGTCCCTTGCTACCAGCTCAGACTATAGAACCGTCCCAAACATCTCAGCCCTCTAAAGAATCGCCACCCAAAATGGGTCACGCTCTATGAGCCTCCGTGGTATTACGAGCCTCCTCTTAAGCGCTCTCGACATTGAGTATATCGGTATTACCAACCCGAACTCGACTTCTATACCAATCCTCGGCATTCTCGACTTTGATACTACTACCAGTCTGACTTCTCTGATTCTTTGCCTTCCCCTCGATACCAATCATGGCATCGTGGTTACTACTACTGTTCTTTTTTGGATTATGACTCCACACCGCTCCCTCCAATACTGAACTCCCACAAATCTCAGAAGAGGACCCATCCTGAATCTCTCCAAGAACAACCCACAGTACCGAAACGGTCCCGGACTTCCGCTTCAACAGTATCATGCGTAGCACAACCCTCAACTCCTTCTCAACCTTGAGCTCCCTCAGTACAGGCGACCACCACATATGCTGGACATCTGCCCCTACTTTCTGGTACAATTCAATTTCTCCAGAAGAAACATTTGAAACATCAATCTGTTTTTGTTTAGGGGATAATCCTTTGCCAGCCACTTTTCCAAAACAGCCTTTTAAAATAGGATCTGTTAGCTGCTCTTGGACAAAATTATTTTCCTGAGGTATTTCCAGAGAAATTGCCTCAGCTTGGGGTAGATTTCTAATTTCCTCTTGAGAATCAGTAATCTTTCCTGCTGCCTCATTTTGTTCTGGTAGTGATTGTGTAATCACAAAGGCACTCTTGACATGTTTTGAGAGATCAGTGCCTATAAGAACTGATGCTGCAGCAATGGGAATAGTTTCATCATAACTTGAGATCTTCCCTCTAAATGTACAGTGGGGTCTCGACTTACGAACGACCCGACTTGCGAACAATTCGAGTTACGAACCTGCCCTATAGGGAAAGTAAGGACTCGACATGCGAACTTCCCTCAAGTTAAGAACAGGGAAAAAAGTCCCCCCTCCCTCCCCTTAGAGGCTTCTGGAGGGGGGAAAAGGGTCAGAAACTTAAAAATAAATACTGTACTGTTAAATAAAGTCACTTACCAGGCCTTGGTAGCCCCCAAACCACAGGAAAAAGAGCAGGAAAGAGCTAAAAGCCGACACCCAGAAAGAGCCTGGCAGCCATTTTGTGGTTTTCCCCGCT